TTGGTTTTTAGATTCACTTGTGTATATTTGAATATCATTTAATGTTATAAAATTTTTTATCAGAAAAAAATAGAGTATTCTAAACTTTGTTCATTATTGATCACAAATCGATTCGGACAAGTGTTAACACAGATAATAATATATGCAGCGATCGAAACATTTATAATCACATCAATTATTCTTTCAGCTCAACTATTAGATAATTTGTTGATCGACTTGATAAAAATTTCTTGTGGAATTTCCATATATCCAGAATTCGATTGGATTTGTGTTGGAACTCTTGGCAATGAGAATGGTCCATTTGAAAATCGGTTGATGTTATTTACTATTGGTTTTATGGTAATATAATTGCTTCAAATTATCATTTATAATCATATTTTGGCTAACACTCTATGTATGTACTGTACGTACGTAATTTAGATAACAATATTAATCGTTACACCAATGGTATGGATGGAATTATCAAGTAATGCTAAAATTCAGATCGGTGTGTAAAATATAATTTTCACTTTACATATAATTCATTAACGTACAAACAAGTTTGTCACATTTTGAATTTTCTTGTAGTGTCGTTTTTTATGATAATATTAGTTGTGATCACGTGGATCGTGACAATCGTATTGCACGGCTTGAATCCAGATCGAATCCCCATAGTTGGACAAGGCCAAGATATGCTTATAAAAACTGTGCTGTATAATTACGCTTTTATCACTACTTTACCGAGTTTGGTCAACGAAATGGTTTGTTCACTCTTTCTTTTGCTATTATACTGACATGCGCTTATTAACTAACCATGCTTCAAATAATATAGAAGAGGGATATTTCAATTCGAAAAGTTGTATGGACTTCAGTCTTTATTACAACGCTTTGCTATATCTCTTTAGGGATTATTGGTGCCATGTCCCTTCGAATGGAATTAACAACAAATCTAATAACATCAATCCGAAAATCGGAATTGCATAATCCCTTTGTTGATATCATTAGCTATTTATTTCCATTCGCATTGCTTGCTGGCATACCGGTATATGCCATAGTTATACGTTATAATTTGACTCGATCTGGAATTTGTAAAGAAAGTATGTTTATATAATCAATAAAAAAAAATTATAATGTATTAATTCCTTCTTCACCATATCAACTAATTAATTATTATTTTATTTTTAGAAAACATTGCAATTTTTTTTACAGTATTACCATGGATTTTAGCTATACCTTTTCAAACTGGTTATCTGTTAAATTTATTTACAAATTGGACAATATTGGTTTTTATTTGTTTCGCAAATTTTATAATTCCATTTTGGTTGTATATCTTGAGTAGAAAAAATGCAAAATTGATACCGTTGGTAAAAATCACTCAACCAAAAGAAGATAATGCAAAAGGTATTTTCAAATGATAATTTCATTTCAATAATATTTATTAACTAACAATTTATTACTAATATTAATATTAATAATATTATTATTTGTTTAGTATTAGTTGAAGAAAAATCACAGATAGCCAAAGCATTAGACACACATTTCAATATCGATAAAACACAAGATCCAAAAATATACCGAATGTCAGCGGATGCAGTACCATTAAGCGACTTCCCGGAGGATTTTAATCCTGAATTTATAAATACTGCCAGATTAACAATACCTCCCATTAAAACAATGGATCCCGATTTATATTCTATATCATTACCCTCACAACCTTCAACTCCACAACAACCTTCAACTCCAGGATCTGTTAGTCCAAATGATGACTTTTACGGTATATTTCCTGTTAAACATTTCAAAGCATTTTTCCCCAACCTTGAAGTAGTGAAAAGTATAAATGAAGAAGGAACTATGGCTGAAAAAGATTTGTATAGCATTTGGATTGCCTGGACTGCTGGAATCGTTAGTTGTCTATTTATAGGATTTGCAATTGTGTATAGCTTTGTGGATTTATCATTTGGAATTAAAAAATAGTATTTTATTGTCAACTACAGAATTGCTGTTCAATTATTGTAATTTAGATTTAAAGATACTGTGAAATTTTTTTTCTCGATGAATTTGATTGATTATATTTCATAGAAAACTGAATTAGAATCAATGATATATTACTGTATGTTCGAATTAGAAATCATTCAATAATTGTATTTTATATATCTTACAAATAAAAATAATTCGGATTCAAATGAATCCGATTTAAAATTATAATTTTATTTAATAGTATTTCTTTGAAGTTTAAAAATAATTTTATTAATAAAAAATAACCAGGAAAATTATTTATTTTTAAAATCATTTTGGAAAACAAAAATTACATCACAAAAATAACCACTTTTCCTGTTCTATTGCTTCTCCATATAATAGTAGCCTACGTATAAATAAAATTGATATATAAAGTGTTTTTATTTATTAATTTTTTTTTTCACAAGTGGATGCCCTCATGCACTTGTGTTTGTATTTATTAAACTAACATATTATCAGACACTGAATCATCTTCTCATCTTAAGAATCTGTATATCAAACAATACACAAACCCATGCTTGATTAAGAATAGATCTTAAAAAAGATTGAAATATATAAAGATTTTACCATATGCCTATAGAAATTATCAATGAACTAAGGTTAAAGTTGTTAAAATATAATTATTGAACATCAACCCGAATTTATGATAGATAGAATAATAGATATAAACAATTAAAGAAAGTGTGTTATAATATATACCTTTCAGAATTAATAAAAATAATCAAATAACTTATCTTGAACATATTATATTATAATACCTTATTAAAAAAATACGAAAATAGAATTAGTAATTGCTACGATCTATATACAACATAAAATAACGATTTTTTAATTTTCACCTCAAATTCATATTATAACAGCCCTTTAAAGTTGTTGCTCCTAAAAGTCCTCACTCTGGCGCATCTAGCGAACCATTTTCATGCAGAGAATTTTGCGAACGAAAAATAATCTAACTAAAGAATGTAAATTTCAAAGCATCGCAATGTTGTAGAAGTATGCCAGTTTTTTAGGTTATTTAGACTTCTGATCGTAGAAACTCTAGCAACCAACTTTATTTAAAAAAA